CGCCGCGGGAGGCAGCTGCAGCGGGCGGGTTCTGGTTAATCCTGGAGAGCTGCTAGCTCATCACCAAAGGAACCCCGGCACATCAGGACCCGAGGATTTAAAAAAACAAAACAAAACACAACACCAAAAAACCAAACAAAGCAAAAAAACCTGAGCAGAGTATCACACCTGCTGCACGTCTGGCTGAGGAGACCCCACTGACAAGCTACAAGACACCCCGCAGTGAAGCCAGGCCGCCGGGATCAGCGGAGGCTGTGCTCCAGCACAACAGGCTCGATGAATCCCCACACGCCCTACTAAACCAGGTATTGATCCAAGAGCGCGTTGGTGCTTACTGTTGTATGCACTGCTGAGACAAACACCCTCCTCCTCAGAAGCCAGGAGAGGGGCCTTGTTTTTATCAGCACCTCTCTGATTTACTGCCCAAAATAGGTATCCCTGAGGCACAGTAAGTCTAGCATAACTGCTGCCTTGCTCTGCTCCCCAGATGTGCTGAATTCTCCACAGAAAAGCGCACAACAGGTCAGCTAGATGGGTATTAACAGATTTTGTGCCATCTTTTGCAATGGAGAATGGCTGGGAAGGCCTCACTAGATGAAACTCTTTGTGCAAATACACAAAAAGCATTGCATTTAAAATAGTTGTTTTCAGTCTGTGCTTCACAGGTCTAAGGAAGAAAAAACCTGAGCGTTTAAATGCGTTATTCAGGGATCCATGCTGTCAATGCACAGTTCTCAAGAGCTGAAAAAACCATTAACTGAATATAAAGGCCTGCTCTGCAACTCCACAAGCCCCAGAAATTTCTGCCCATCTTTTCTTCTTCCTTCCCCATCTGATCACAAGAGCAGACTGATTCCTATTCCTATGCTCTATTGCATGGCAGCCTGCAAAATGAATGCTCAACACTCGTCTCGGGAGAGTAAACCAGACTATTGCACTTTAATGGCATTTACCATGTGTTTGGTCCAAGCATAAATGATGATGGTCCAGGTACAGCAGCAGGTCACTGTAGTGCTTGTGCAGCATAGTGGAGGAAGCATCCGCTTGTGTTTAAAGTGATCAAACTTGGGAGAAGATTGCTTGGTTTTAAAAATACAAATGGCATGGTTCTAGAGGTTAGAGCAAAGTTAACAGGGCTCTTGGTCACTGAAGAATCAATGCAGCAGCAGGTCTTGTCAAGAGAAATGCAATTGCAGAATAACAGATGTAAACTTTGAAAATGAAACTGCTTCAGAAAAAACACAGATCTCCCTAGCACTAGTATTTTCATTCTGCCAAAGCTGAGATACTCTTTTTCTTCTAAAAAAGAACCCTGAATTTTTATTTTTTTTTAAGGTTTTCACCAGAAAGCCACAGCAGGACAGATTTATTGTGCGTAAGATTAGAGTTTAGTTTGTCACACCGCACAGAGCTCACCACTGCAGTGTAAACAAACCCATCTTTTCCTTTCTTCAATCCTCATTTTACTAGGCCACTTTCCCACCCACACATTTGCAAGCAGTACCCTCTACTTGTCTGAGTAAAGCTTAGACTAAAAGCCATGGAAGCCCTTTAGACCCTCCCCCATGACTCTCCCAGACTGCCTGGCTACACTCCCAAACCCTCAAGAATACCTACATTTTCAAATGAGACATAGGTGACCAGTGTAACTTTTTCTAACACAGCAAAACTGTGTTCATTTTATAATTTTCTTAGAAAAATGTAACATTTCAAGTTCTGTTAAGATAGGTAGCTGAAGGCAAAAGGACATTTCAAGGCACAGAGTATCTATAACCTACATTCAACAGCCATTTTAAGGATCCTGAAGGACATTCAACTTGCATAAAAGCATCAGTGATTAAAATTCAAGACTAGATACTGGGAGCACAAGCAGCTCCCTGGCCCAGTAAGAGCATTTGATACCAACCCCAGCTTTGTGCAAACCACCACAGCTCGCATAGGGAGTTATGGTCATAAATCTTAGTTAACTAACACCATCAAAAACAGCCCTCAGGAACTCCCAGATGTTTCCTGGAAATGTATCTGCATAAAAGCAGGCTAAACTGTATTGTTTAAGGGCAGTCCATAAGTCTTTTAAAGATAGTTTGTCCAGTAATATTTTGAGTGGTTCCCTTACTTACAATAAGAGGATGCACAATACAAGACTTGGAAGACCAGAAGGTGCATCCACTCACACATACAGAGGAGGGATTTAGGAGGAGGGAGGAAAGGAGAGTACTTGGATTACAGAAAGTCACAGTGTTTAACATGACATCTCCGAGATCTTCTGGACTTACTACAGGAACCCATCTGCCTAACCTTCAGGGAGGCAAAAGAAATGAAAAATCAGATCCTCTCCTGTTTGCTTAGTAGCAGGTCTTGCTACATCAGAACGGACATGGGAAGAGCAGAAGGCTAGGCTGGGCAAGGGAAGCGTCTGTTCTCCGTTGCAGAGAGGGCCTCAGTACGGCTGCTGGGCTGTCTTGCTTGAATCAGACCACTGTGGAAGGGCATCCTGCTGATCAATTGGCTCATAGGTACTGCAATCCCGGCCTGCACGGGTGACACCTGAATGGAGATGGAAGAGAACAAGCTTGGGAAAAAACCAAAAGCACAAGAACTGAATCCCCTAGAAGAAACCAACAGCTCAGGAGCGCACCACATTAGCAGCTCTACCAGCCCCCCAGCACTTGTGTTCCGTGATCCTCACTACACAGGCAGGAGATAAGAAAACTCATCCTTCCAACAAAGGCAAAACACGCCTCTTCATTCCCTGAGAACTGCTCTCTTAGTAGCCACATGGCTGTGTGGAAAGCAAGACCCGCAATACTACATAGCAGCATAACAGGCTCCTTTAGTAGCATATTTCAGCAAGATCAAGTTTATGAGATCTAGTGGAAAAATGAACAAACAAAAACAGAAGCAGCAGGAACCATGGCTAGCTGACAGCATAGATTTAAGAGCATGATTCATCCATAACCACTCTTCCCAAAAATGCAGCTATGCCTCAAGTGTGCCACACCATGGCACTAAATTTGAATCCAGCAGTATTCCCAATTGCACTATGAACAATTTGCCTGTGGTACAGGAATGGTACAAAATCATGTTACTGTCCAGGGGATGAGGAGGGAAAGAAGAGAGACAGACAGAGAATGTGTATGGAAAGCTCTTTATCTGTAGGTCAGGCATCTTCCATGGCTAGAAAGCAATCTGAATCAAAGGTGGGCACCAAACCGTGTCAGAGGCTTGTTCTATGCAGGAAGGATGCTGTCAAGCAACAAAAAGGGATTTCGTGTGGAAAGAAAACGAGACAGGGAAGACCAGGAAAAATGCAACACTGTTAGGTTCAAAAGGAAAATGCCAGACAGCAGGAAAATGAGAGAGGAAATTTGTCAACCACATTCGACAAAACAACAGCACACAGTTTGTACTGAAAATCTTGTGAGAAAGAGTTCAGGAGAGGAAATGAAACTACAAAGTATCTGAATCCCAACCTGTGCCTGAGAGGAGACTCTCGGACAGTATACCTGTGTTGGGATAGTATGGTTGAAAAGAAGGAGTGCTCCCAAATTCCAAGCAAAGGGCTGAACTCCTCAATGATACCTACACTTTCCATGGGATACAAATGTCAAATCCCAATTACAAGCACAGTGAGCAGGTAATAAAAATTGGCAGAAACATGGCCCACAGCAAGGAGCTGTAGTTGACTCAGAGGCCGCCTGACCCAGTTAAGACAGATCTGTCTGGCATTTGCACAAGTAGCTGATGGAGAAGACATCCACATTCCACTAGTAGAGAGATGCAAATAGCACATAGCGCCCCAAGCCATGGTTTCCTTCCACGGCCTCTCCTCCTCTGCAGGTATCCACCTCTTTTCACAGGAAGCGGTATCTTCTTTGCTAGCACCAAAGCAGCATAAGTGACAGCTTGCAAACACTGTAATGCAGTTATACCATCCTTTGTCCTGCACAGCCTTCTTAGGAAGGCAAAGAGATAACTGTGCCAGGCTGCTGGTTTTGCCAGGGTGAACTCCCACACAGCAAACAATCCCTGGCAGCTTCCCCGGCACGAACTAGCACCAGGCATACTGGGCAAAGCTGACTGAGACCCAGAACATCCACTCACAGCCCCTTCTCTCTGGCAAGGCTGCCACATTATCATTAGCAAGTATAACCAGGAGAAAAATGAGTGCCTCCAGGCAGAGTCCCACAAGGTAAACATCAGTCCCATTTTCCAGGTGAGGAAATAGAGGTCCAAAGCAATCAAGGTAGCTAGGGCATGTGAGGCCCAGAGAAAGCATGGAGTTAGAAATCCAGCTTCTTTATCTCTCGTGCATAATCCAGCTAGAGGGCATGCCACCTCTACTTTCCCCCAGAAGGAAAAGAAAGGGTTAGCAGAGAGAAGACACCCAAAGGCTTCCAACAAGCACACAGAAATGCAGGAGGAGGAAGAGAGGAAAAGACTCTCAGTTACATTGAATAAGAGAGCGCGCAGTGGTATCAATATCATTGGGGGCAAAATGGCTGTCAGACAAGGACTTCAGGTCTGCAAGGGAAGAGAGGAAGAATGTAAATTTAAGGCGTAAGACGCACCAGAACCACAAAATGGGAGAACAGACATGAGCGAGAGAGAGTACCCCCCCTCCCTGGAAAGGGGGGCAAAATCAAGCTGCACAGAGCTCAGGCTGAAGTGTCCAAAGTGCAAGGCAGTCTCCCTAACACCAGAGGAGGTGGCCCACACTGATGTGGAGGCAGAGGAAGCATCCTACCTATGTTAAGGGTGTACTCTCCTCCACGCTCCCGATACATTCGATACACCAAATAGCAGGACACAGGTTTGAGGAGGAGGCTGAAGATGGCCATGCCTATACTGAAACGTTTCACATCACTGAGATAGTTACTCTTTGGAGGGTAGAAGACAGAGATGTGAATGATGTCTGTGAGGACTGTAAGCAGGAGGCCAGTCAGGAACTGGAAACAAAGAGAGAATGGGACATGAACTGAATAGGGGATTAACCACTAGGGGTAACAGTCAGTTACAGCATCTATTTCCTGCGAGATCTGTGTCCACACAATCATGCCTTCACCCCAGCATCACACGTTGCTAACCCTTGACACTGCCCCAGGTAGACAGAGATTCCTAAATGAATAATCCTGTATTTCGTGCATTTTCTTCACATCTATCAGACACCTTCTTATGATATGCTCCAGGATTTTTTATTTTTGCCTGCCAATCTCTTTAATGTTCAGAGAAGGGTTTTATAAAGCCCCTCCAGCTCAAGCGTATTGAACGCTTTGAGTCCTCCTCTGGCATTACAAGTCACAACAGCAGGTAAAAAAGGCAAGTGTGCCTCACCTCTGAGGAGCAAAGTAAGTGATAGTGAATGCTTCTCACCATGGTTTACAGTACTTATAGATTTATATGCGCTCTTAAAAAAAAATCAAAACAATTCAAACAGGGAATTTGACTTATTCAGTGCTATATTGGGAACAGCTGAAAATCATCACCAACTCAAAGAAGCTGTCTCTGCCCTCCACCCTCTCCCTGAGCAGCCTGGTGGAGGCAAATATCCTCACACTCACCATCATGATGGCATCAAGGGAATCTCGCTGCACAATGGCCCAGATCCCCACTGCAAGGACACTGAAATTTCCCCAGGCATAGGAGGCTGGAAACATGTAATTCATGCATCCCCTGCCAAACAAGACAAAAAAAAAAAAACCCAGCCCACATTCACAATAAGCCTGCAACAGTTTGTTTGCATTCATTCCTGTTCCCATACAAACACCTCACTCTTAGGTTTAGGATCTTCTTGCACACAGACAGGCACAAACAGGGAGTGCTGATTCCTGAAGAATATCCCATTCCTAGTTTGAAGGAATACCCTCTTCTCACCCAGGCCAGGCCAGGCACCAATCACTCACCACACTGTGAGCAGCCAGTGTACCAGAATGATGGCCTATGAAAAAAAAAAAGAGGAAGACAGGTCAGCAAGTTGGGAGAACTGTGGGAGGATCGACATGAAATGACACCATCTTGTTTCCAAGGGACAGGTGGAAGAGTGCCCTGGACCCATGAACCAGTGCAGAAAGCTGGCGTAGCAACTGGGACAGTGAAGACACAAAACCATTTTTCTCTGCTTCTGTTGCTGAGTATTTCCTGTAGTCATTCATTATTGTTGTCATTTCTGTCGACAGTTGATTCAGGGGCCACTTAGTCTTTTCTAAATGGGTTATTGATTTTGGAACTCCAAAAGAGTTTGTACAGAAAGCCAGGCAATCTGATTCACACTATGCTAGCACAGTTTATACATGACCAACCTGGCATCTCATCACCAAGAAGTCCATGGAAAAGTCATGCCTGCAGCCCCCAGCAATTTCACTCCAGTCCTCAGTAAATCCTCCTTTTACCTCCTTCCAGTCTGTTCAGAGCAGTGGTTCAACCTCACTGCAATATTAACAGACCTGAAGGCATCTCCTAGGAACCTAAAACCCAATCCTGCCATAGCACACAGCTCTTTTCATTCCCAGTGAAGCCACCAGGGCCCAAATGCCGGCAGTGCCCTAAGTAGCAATAAGATAATGCTGTCACAGATTCTGTACTTTGCAAGTGTCCTTAATGACCCCGATCCTTGTGCTCAAGGGGACAAATCCAAGAAGAAAGCATCTTACTGTAACAAGTGACACAAGGATTCTCTTCACCAGCACTTGACATTTCTGTAACCAAGGAGACATACTCTACATATTTATTAAGACAGCAATGGGAACAAGAATATACCACTTCAGTCTCTTTCTAGACATATATCCATGTACTCACTTGCTTTTGAGCCTGCTGGCCAATCTCAACAAAGGGAGATCACTCATATTCATTCTCTAAACATTTGTGAAAACAAGAATATGGAAGACAGGCTCTATCAGCAGCCTCATAAAAGAAAGGCTGAAGCCTTGACGTATCAGAGAATCCATGGGAAACAGGCACTCTTCCATTTCTTCTAGGTGTGAGAAGGGGTCCAATTGGCATTTATACTGACCTCGGTATAAAAAAAAAAAAACAACCCACCACCAAAACCCCGCTGAAGCACACTCCCCCCACATACTCCCACAAAAAAAAAAAAAAGGAAGAAAATTGGGAAATGAGTAAGCAGCAAAAGGCTAAATTACTCAGTGGACACAGGAAAGCTGTATGCAGATAGGAGCATTAAGACACTAAAAAAAAAAATCTACTGACATTCTGCTACGTTCACTGACATAAAACGTATATCCATGCTCTAACTTAATACAAAACTAGTTGCTCGAGAAGAGAGTTAATAACCAATGAAGCTGTGACATGAGTGAAGCACAGCCAGGAAATCAACAGGAGTGATGCATCTGCTGTGGCTCATACTGCTCTGCCAAGATACCACAGAGCTCTTGCTTCACTGCAGTACCCTAGCACATCTGCTGAGCATTCACCCTGAGTAGCCTAGATTTTGTCATAACTTCAAACACTGCTTAAACAGATTTTTATTAATGATTTTTTTTAATTGTTCATGAAAGCCTACAAAATGCTTCACCACCACCTCCCGCTTTCCCCTCTCCGCAGTTGTATCACGGAGACCAGGCAGAAACTGCCAATCAGTAAAATACAAGATGTTCTTGGATAAGAATGTAGACGTGCAAATAGCATTTACTCAAGAGACTATCACAACATCAGGGAAATTCTTAATTAGGTAGTATTTAATTGCATGTTACATACCCGCAAGACCCCTCAAGGCTCACCAGTTAACATAATTAGGCAGGGTGACTTTTTTTTTTAAAAGCTGTCTAGATCAATATTGCAGTTATTGAATTATGAAGCAAGCTTAGTCATCAGCATAAAGTCAGGTAAACTAGAGCTCACAGTATGAGGGACTGCTGAAATAAAACAAGGCATTCCCTTCCTGGTTATTAGTCCAATTTACCTGACAGTTCTTCAGGGCACTATGGAATTAGCTGGTGGTCTTGGTATGCTTTAACATAGAAAATGTAGTGTTAATGAAAAACATTCTTTAAAGCTACAGTCACTTCGTGAGATTAGATAATTTGCAGGCAGTCTCCTGATGAGACAGCAGAAGAATTCAAATTTTTTCCATCTGTTCAAGGACTTAAGTCTGTACCTAAGAAAGGCATACATTTCTTTTTTTGAGAAAATAACTCCCACAACTTGAACTAGTGCTGAGAGCAGAAAATAAGAAAGGTGGGACGTCTGTCCCCATCCTTTCAGGGCAGAAGGATGACCACGTGATTAAAAGCACCCCACTGGAAATTGGAGAGAGCTAAGGGGAATTCCTAGTTCCATCACATGCTGGGATTTGCAGAGGAGCTAATTGCCAAGCATAAAAAGAGCCTGGGTGTGCCTCAGTCTCCTTAGATGGGAAACTCTTTGGAACAGGAACTCACTCCTTTAAACACGTTTCAGCTCAGAACCTAGCACAAGGCTGAATTTTGACTAAGTTAAAATTACACAGTTTCAAATTACAATTATTTTCTTGTAATATCTAACTTTTTAAATTTTACTTACTTTTTTTTTTTGAGTGAGCTCATCTGCTCTGTGAGTGACATATTCACCTGAGGATATACTAACCAAAACATAGATCTGAGTGGCCACCTGCGAATGAGCCACCTGTGAGGATGCTCCTCATTATTATAACAGAATGGTAATAATGAGAGTGGTGAGGCAGTGGAACAGGCTATCCAACGGGGTTGTCGTGGCTCTATCTTTAGAGATTTTTAAAAGTCAGCTGAATTTTGAGTTGGGCTATTTGATCTAACTTTCACATTAGCTTTGCTTTGAGCAGAAGGTTGGACTAGATGACATACAGAGGTCTCTCTTAATCTAGCTTATTCTGTGATTCTGTGACCTAACATTTAAAAATGCCCAAGCACAAAACGTATGTTTCTAGGCACATGGATTGTAGGGCCATTGTCCAGGCTTGATCAAACTCAAACTTTGTATTTCGAGGCTCTGCATAGTTATTGCAATAATCCTAGGTGTCAAGCATTCACTGCAAAGATATGGCTATGCTGCTTCCCACATGCTTTGCTGAGCATTACTATTAGAGCTGAGCCAGTAGATGCTGTTTCATGAGCATGGTCCTCATCCACTCTAGGGCAAAGCCTGCTACATTAATTTTATAGCTCTGCAAGTAGCTTAAAGAGAGACCTCAAGGCTAAGACATTGCTATGTTCTGGCACAAACACAGCTCAGTCATGCAGTTCTCTTCGAGCTACTTCTATCACAAGGCTCATCTTTTTTTAATCTCAGAGAAACTGTAAGCAGATCACGCCAATGAATAGCAGTAGTGTGTATTATTTCCAGTCCCTTTCTGAATAAGAATCTTTCCCACCTTTGCAATATGTTTCAGGGAAGCAGGCCCTAAACTCAGGAACAGTACAAAGATGCAGGTACAATTATTAACTCCCTGTTCCCCGGTTGTTCAGCCCCTGAGCAGTACCGGCAGACTTGACAACAAGGAATTTCTTACTGCTGAAAACAGTTTGCCCAGGACAAGCTTACTCTTATCGAGGAAGAGATTTGGGAACGGTTATCTAAAACCAGAGAAGAAAGGCAACATTTTAGTTGTGTTGCCATGGTGACTCATTCATTCCAGAAGCTGTGATTTTCAGCTCCCCTATCTCCACCTCCCATGGTAGAACATGTATTTCCTGTTGGCAAACTTTTTAATTAAATGTCCTTATTTTTCACTGTTGCTTTAGCATGGGGGGGAAAAAAAATCAAACCAAGTTAAAAAACAAAGCAGAAGGCAAGATCTTTTAATCTTCCTAGTGCCCTGGGAATCACACAATAGTCCAAACTTGTCAGAGCAAAGTATCAGCTAATTTCCAGAATGTAATCGAATCCACATGCCAGGCCTTGAAAAATCCATTTGCTTACTTGCCTCTAACAAGGGATGTTGCTTTTCTTGGTGAACTACTAAGAGAGGGAAAAAATCATTATATGAACGCCAAGCTTTTATTTAGCACAGCCACATGAAAGCCTTCCTGTACAAAGCTGAATTCATAATGGTAGCTGAGATAATACTATCCTCCCACCCAGCCTGTAGGCAGCCCACTCCAAGGCCACTGCTCACAGCTTTATGAATCAATAGCAGAAAAAAAACCTGACGTGATCAGTGATGCTTTCATTCTCCGGGCAAAGTTTTAACCAAAGAAAGCACCTGAAACTTGGTGTACCAAACAAGATACACAAAGTAGTGAAGCTGGAAAAAGGCACACACACCTAGAAATCTCAGGGCTCTGAAAATACAAAAGACAAAAAAAAAAAAAAAAAAAGAGGAAAATTTCATCTGTCTGGTATCAGGAAAGGCTTCAGTATGAAACACCAGCATCAAAAGCAAAAAAGTGATTTTAGCATCCTCCAGCTTCTCCACAAGGATGTGCTTCTTCCCAAAGTGAAAAGCGTAACATAATTGTGGTAAGTCCCTTATTTCCCATTTCTCCAGCTACCAGATATTCACCGAAATTTTCAAATTGCCCCCAATTGAAGCCCCCTCCCCCCCAACAGAGAAGCAATTTCAATTATCTACCAGATGATAACCCCAAAGTAAGTGGTATCATCTTTCTAAGGTATTTTGCCTGACAAGCAAAAACTTTGCCTCCTCAGGATCTTGTGTAGCATTTATCCTGGATTAGCTCTGGTCAGCTGAGCTGGAAACCTCCACGAACACAAGATAATAACCGCTGTTGTCCCAACCCAGTCCTTGGACACTTTAGCAACTGCCCTGAAGTAAGAGAGAACCTTGGAGTCATTGCCTGCTGGTCTTAATGACCAAGAGCTTTTGCAACGTTTGCCCATGTGATTAAAAAGGTTTAGAAACACCAGCCGTTCCTCCTCGGAGGCCTCCACATCTCCTGACCAGGCCCGCAGCCAGGTCCTGGACCAGGCGCAAAGCTGGCCGGCATGCGAGAGGAGAGGGCAGGGCAGGCCGGGCCAAGCGCCCGCTCCCCGGGACGCCACCCCGCCGCCCCACGCCTGTCTCCCCCGAGCAGCGGCCGAG